CTCTCTCTCTCTCTCTCTCTCTCTCTCTCTCTCTCTTCCTTCTCTCGTGTCTCTCTAACTCTCGTTCGAGCAGTGGACGTTTACACGCATCGACGAATTCGCGTTTTACATGTCCGTACGATCGATTCGTCCCCGTCAATCTCCACTCTTTTCCTCTTATCGGCCGCGACGCCCGTCACCGTTAATAATTGCGTGAACAGTCTCCGCGGATACGCGACTGATTTGCAAGCGGAAAACTAACGCGCGGAATGCGAGTGCAACTGACAGACCAAACTGGACTGGACCGGACTGGACTTAATCTCTTCAGAGACGAAAAAAAAAAAAAAAAAACGAAATTCGCTCGACGACCTTCCTTCCTTCCTTCCTTCCTTTTTCTCCTTTTTTTTTTTTTTGTTGTTCATTATGCGCGAGGATGGATTTATTTTTTTTATTCAACTTTCGTGTTTTGTTCTCGCGTTTTCATGGAAGGGAACAGGAAGAGGAGATTAATTTGTATTATTCTTGCGTCGTTCTTCGTCGAAACGATTCTTCCGAATTAATTTTTTGAATATCGCGAATTTCGAGAAGAAGGAGGATAGAAGATGATTTTCGCAAAGTGGGAAGAATAATCGACATCGAAAACTTTTTCCAATAACGCCGTGTGTTTGGCATCCAATCGTAAGTTCACACCTCTTTAACCCTTAAAAGTCGGTCCCCGCAGACTAGCAGACTTCGACAAGATCGTTATCCCTGAAATATCGAAAGTTTCGGAGGCTCGAGTCGCGCGCCCTGTTAAACTTTCAAATTGCTTCCAGCTTTATTAAAATCATAGACCGTAATGAAGTCGTCCTCTAGCCTATCCTAATCTATCTCTCTCTCCGTCTAGATACCCACGAAGATACGTATCTTCTTCGATGCTCGTGTTTTCTTTTTCTTCTTTTTTCTCCCCTCTTCTCCTATTATTTAATTCGAGAAATTATTCGGGAACGCGTTGAACAAAAGAAAAAAAAAAGAAAGAGAAAAAAATAATTTTTAAATTCAAAGTTCGTAAATTTAAATTCTCGAATCAAATTTAAACCGATTCCGCTCAATTCCCACTTACTTTTTCATTTTCCATTCCGTCTACCCATTTCATCTATTGTTACTAAACTTTTCAATTTTCCACCCGAATTTATGACACACCGACCCACTCGCGAAGACA